AATTGGAGATACCTCAAAATTGAATCCCAAGCTTATTAGAACTTATTTTGGTGTATGCCCTGATTTTCTAGAACTTATTAATTTGTTATAGTTGATGAAGTACAAGTTAAACTAGTGTGTTTATGTTGTTTATGTAGAAATTATGCAAAAACCCAATCTTTCATTCACGACTATATGTTTTCAAGATTTTTTTGGACCTTAATTTATTTAAATATTTATTTTTCAAACAGTTATATATGGAGGGAACTAAGGCTGTACAAACCCCAAATTTTGGCGCCATATTAACTTAGGCAATATTCTTTTGGAGCCAATTTTATTCTAGCCAATCCCATGAAGTGATTGATGAAAATACCCTTGTAGATGACATGTTTTAATGGAAAAATAGATGAAAAATAATGTATGTGGTAGATTCCAACAATTAAGAGAATTCATGTGGCATTGACGCACATGCTTTACAAGTTCATGTGGTACAGATATGTAAAATTTTCTTAACATGACCCCATATGGGATTTACAATTGTCACTACGAAACTCATCACTCTAGGCTTCTCCTGCGCCTTCACAATATAGCACCAAGTTAATTGATCAATCCGATCGGCATGTCTGAACGAAAGTTGACCCACATCTAGCTATGATAACAACTGTTAGGGCCCGACTTTGCAGCACACTGAAATATGGAGGTGTGGCACCAAGCCTCCCCTGAATCAAGGCTATCTCTCTCGTGTTTACTTGGTTGATAGACTCATTTGGCACCTAACCTGATTAAACATAGGCGAATTTATGACTGGAAAAGAAGAGTAGTTGTTGAAGAAAAGGAGCGAACACAACCATTTTCATTTTGATTCTCTCTTCTAAGTCAAACCAAACCCTATTGCGGGCGTTCTAGTTTCCATCGATCCCTCCCTCCCTCTCTCTCTCACCCTGACTGTCTTACAAGGTTCATTCATTTTACCAAAGTATTCCATATATATGTCCAATTTTACCCGAAACGACTGCCAACGTCTCCGTTTCTGTGTTCTTTTGGCAAAATACAAATTAAGTTGTTGGTCCTGTTGGATTATGTATGATTGGTATAAGTACATAAATAAAGATGTGCTTTGCAAATATAAATATAAATTGGTAGTCCGTCGTTCACGCAATGTTGTTGATGCTTGCAAAATTCAAATTCAAATTAAAACACAACTCATGCATTCCATCTACCTCACGTGTGGGTTGGCCTGGGTGTTGGACCAGAAAAGTCTATCGATGATCAGAGGTTAGGAAAGGACCACTCACCTGACACCAGTCACCACCACACTATGTGACTGACAGCAAACACACGAGTAAGTATAGTAGTATGGTAGGACTCTACTTCGAAGCATTATACAAAATCTCGCGGATTTATGCCCTCGACTCTGTGTACCCCACAAACACCCCCCACCCCCAAACAAATTATCTCTCTTTATGTGCTGAGGAATCTCAAAATGGTGCCCCGCCTACTCACCCTGCTACACGCTCTATGGTTGGCACATGGAGGTCGTACGTTTGGTGGTGAGCCCTTTATCTTGCAATTTTCACGTACCGCTTCTGGCAGAATATGAGCAGTTGCTGTGATATTATTCATGTACGTACGTTCATCGATATGGCATTTTGCCCTACTTGAATATAATATATATATATATATATATATATGTATCCATATATATAGAGTTGGGATGAAGAGACAAACTTTTTAACACTTATTTTTACACATGCTTTTAATCATTAGATTAACTTTATTTGAACAGTTAAGACGATATTTTAAATGTTGACTAAATTACATTAGTAATTTTTTTTTGAACAAATGTTATTCTCTATACTAATGGGGTGGCGAAGTAGGCTAAACCTTACTATGAGCTAGCAATATTGCAGTTTAAATTCGTCTTTAGTAAAAATTGAATCTAAAAAAAAATTTGGATTCAGGAATTCTCCTAGTACTGTTGGTGGGAATATGGTGGTGCAGCCATAGTAATTCAACTTCTTTCATCAGTGAAGTTCTTTTATATTTTGGTGGTCAAAGTAGTGCTTTATTTTTTCTTTTGAAAAATTTAAGACCAATCAAAGTTCTTTTAAAACACTATAATTTTTTTTCATCACTACCGATCGTATATGCATGCAGTACCAGATCGCAATTGACATAAACAATACTTAAATGTATTCTTTCCAATTGGGAGGAAATGGAGAAATGGCTAGCATGAATCAGAAGAATAAGTATATATAACCTCGCAATCTTATGATCGACAACACACAGACATTCAAGTTTTTGCTAGGGTATTTAATGAAAAAGAAAATAAATTCCCACTGAGTTTGTTGTTCAATCTATAAGCATAATGAGATTCGAACCTACCCCGTAGTGTAAAGACAATACTTCTCTCTACCATTGTGGTAGAGAGCCACTTTCGTCAAAACATTTCTTAACTTGCACTTTTATTTACTGAAATAAAATTATTTTCTTTTTGTATGTTTTTAGTCAATAGCTCAACGCAATCTTGACCATTAAAAGTGAAATGTGGTAGTAAAATGTGGGACCTGTAAGGACATGAAATGTGGTTCTGATACCATACTAACTCTAAAATGCATAATGGTTAGTGGAATTCAGTTATTTATTCAATGATACAATTAAGGGATACAATAAGAAGGTAAAACAATCAGCGAAATTAACTATGCTAAAGAATAATCGTCAAATATCTAAATTAGACGGAGAAGAACAATACAAGATCAGTGGTAATTAAGGTGATGAGTGACAATGGATATAATGAAAGCATCTAACACTTATATTTGTAACCAAAAATAAAAAATGAAAATAAAAGGTAAGTGGTGGTGGATTGTTCGAGGGAATAGTTATCCTCTCTAATTTGTTGTTTTTTATGTTTCAAACCCTATTTCCTTATCTTAATGTTAACTAAGAATAATAATAAGGGAAAAAACGATATATCTTAATGAGAATCCTTTGCACTTCACACTCTTGACTTGACCAATTCCAAGACACATCATCGATCACATGGAAGCTAAGTCTGCGCATGTTCAGCTTGGCATCTGTGACATGCATGACTTCGAAAACCGATCCCTATAGCTCGTTCATTAAAAATATACATATTTTACATTACTCTGTCTTAGCTATTACTGCCTCATACCAGCTAGATAATGTGTAAATACAATGCACTGTTTGGCATACAATTAGTGGCGGTATTTTTCAAGAACAATACCGTACAGTTATGTTAGGGTGAGTGAGTTCCAGCTGAAAATTAGTTATAAGAGATCAGAATAGACCTCCATGACCAGTTCAAAATGCCGCTTTTAGGTTTTTTTCGTTTTTGCCATTTTGCCGCTATTAACTCCCACGACACATTGTTATATTTATGTTGGTTATGTAGCAACTAGAATCCCATAACCTCATTTTATTCCTCTTTTATCACCACTTGACTACTGTACATACTTCCTTCTATAATTTTATGATAAATTCCTTTCTAACTTGACCTTAATTCTTTGATACTTGAAAATTCCTCATCCAAACATAGTCTGAGATATGAGGTCTTCTTTTTTTTTTTTTGGTTTTTTTCATTCATATTCATTATTGTATGTTGGTTTAGTATTTAATTAGATTAATCTTTCAATATATAGTTGCACCCGACTCCTTTTCTTGTCAAATTAAGTTGTTCGTTTTGTATCAATTTTCTTTATTTTACGGTTCTGCACTTAGGTTAATTGCGACTAGAGTTCTAACTTTAAAGAAAGTGTTGCATTTAGGATTTGGTAGTGTAGCATTCAGGGATTTGATCTTTGCTTGTACATATAATATTTAGGCTAATTTATCGATTTGCCCCTAAAAATGTCTTATGGTCTCACTTTACATTCTAAAACTGGATTTATCTCGCTTTGTTCTCTGTAATTGCCAAAATCGAGCCATTTTACCACATTTATGTGAATTTTGTCCATAAACTTTAATTGAAAGGGTATGGACATTTCATATCATGATGGTAGCGATAAGCCATTGTTGTTGCAAGGCATGAAATTTTTAAACTTCCCTAAACCTCTAAGACTCAAATTTCTGCCATCGTGGACTTAAATAGGGTGAGACAAATCCAATTTCATAAAAGATCAAATGAGATCAAAGAACAATTATACACACAAACATGAGGCACACGTGCATATACACACAAAAGCACAATAATTAATTGATGGATTGAAAGACTGTAACATACATTTGGGGAACTGGGTATCCAATAGGTGAACAAAAGTTCTTTTTTCTTTTGAACAGATAATTGATTGTATATTCAATTGTGATAACTTACTATATGGATCTTTGACTTCCAAGTCAGGCTATATTGGACTATAATACGAATAAGGCAGTGGTAGACTAAGTTGGTTTAGTGATTCTCTTTTTAATCTTTATTCTATGTCATGAATCGATTTCTAAATTCTTAAAAGTGAACAGATACTGCCTTTCAGCTTCGTACTAGTCTATAGTACTAATTGCTAACTAACACCGTATATAAATATATAATATTCAGTTTGCAAATGTTCTGCCAAAAAACTTGTTCAGTAATAATACAAAAAAGTGTTGACTTTTATCCCGCAAGCGTGTGGCCGACATTTCAAAAACGTTTTTTCAAACACTAGGTGAGAAATTTCCAAGTGTGAATGATGGCACTTCTTTTGATGTAGCCATGGAAGGATTCCCATTACTTGCTAAGGCATGTAGTATGCCAGTAGATATTGTAGATATATATCAATCTCTTCCCCATTTTTTTTCCAAATGTACTGTTTTCCCAACCATTTTTCGTATCACTTTCACATAACAGGGATCCATGAGATGATGAGACTCGTGTAAAACATATAAAATAACTGAAAATATATTACAAGAAGTTGAAGTTTCACCATGAGCACAGTGATAGTTACCCAATAATTTTTATCTTAGAATTACACTTGGGCATCCCAAATGAAAAAGAAAATGTCAGACTTCATGTATAAATAACCATATCATTCAGAAGTAGCTGAAGGCCATATTGTATTGCATACGAGTCAATATATAACCCTAGTAGAAGAACAAACTCTCTAGAAAGACAAACTAGAAGCAAATGGAAGGTACAAAAAGCGAGTCATACTTTGTTTTCATGAACTATGATCCTCAGTACGAACGCCTTCGAGCTGATCGGTTAGTACTATAAACTTATCTTTACTACTCATTTCATTGTATATTTTTCTTCATACAAATAAGTTATGCTAATTATCTGTTTATATATGTAGAACAAAGAGAGGAGCAAATGAGCTAGATTTGTACCTAAGCCGGAAGCATGACCAGTTGTTGGCAAGAACCCTTGAGCCAGGAAGCTATAAGAAGACATTGTCTCTCGTCATTGTTGATGGGTTTTCTGTGGAAATTACTGAGGACCAGGTCTGGTTAATTTTTATAATTAATAATGCACCATTAATTGTTGATTAATGTTTGTTTATTTCTGTTCTGGGTCTGATTTAACTTTTGTTTTTCTGTTTTGTTTTTGTCAGGCCAGTGTGCTTAGATCTGCAAAAGAAGTGAGACTAGTGGAGAAAAATCAAGAGCTTGCTTAATGTAGCAGAAAGAGAAGATCAGGTTTAGCGAGTGCGAACGGGAAATGAGTTAGTACGGGAGCTTCTGTGGCTGTATGTTAATTGGGGTGTGATTATGGGTTAACTAAAATAATTAAATAGTAATATTGCTGGTAAAAATCTAGGTAGATTTGTTTGAGAACTCGACCATTTTACGGATGCTAGTAATATCACCTATTTAGTTGTACTTTTGGAGTTGTGATAATTGACTCTCTCTCTCTCGCTCTCTCTCTCTCTCTCTCTCTCTCTCTCTCTCTCTCTCTCTCTCTCTCTCCCTCTCGGATCCAGTGAGTTCTCACCTTCTTTTCTTTTAATTGAGTTAACTGTTTAAATCAAGATTTGGTAGACTGAGAAAGGCCAAAATAGAGCTCGTTTTCGTTGGTTTCTGGCTTTTTATCCAGTGACAGTTGTATGGTTTTTGATATGCAAATGAAAGTTTGAGATGCTATTGCTATTAGTCCACTAATTTAAGTTCTAGAACTAGCAAACAGGGTTCCATTCATAAGTTTACATTTAAGAGTTTTTCTCTTTATAATGATAAAATAAGCTTTTTTTTATATATTTATATTTAATTTCTGATGATTTAGGGGATATTGAGAATACAACTTAACAGAACATCAGGTGCATGCTAACCACTTGAATTGTAAATCTCTAACTAAGTTATATTTATGAATTAAAAGAAAATACAATAGAATTCCCTTCCAATCACGTTTATTGATGATAATGCCATAAGGGTTCAGCTTCTTCCCTAGTTCATCCTCTGATGACCTATCTATGCTTTGCACCCCATCATAACATGTCTCAAATATAGCGCTTTAATGATGATTAAACTCTTTGTAGTCTGCATTAACATGGGCTTTTTTGGGTTTAAGAAGAGAGGCCAAGTGTATATAAGACTATGAATTTATGAAACAAGGCCATGAGTGCATTTTTAACAGCTGAAACAAGTGATCACCACATATAAGAAAAAAAAAATGAAGAAATACATACCAAAAAGAGAGGAAAGAAGAGAGATTCCTTCCTCCCATAATTTGAGCAGGAACAGGAAATGGTGGCCCTGGACTGGCAGCAGCAGCTGCTCTATTTAGTTAAGGTAATAAAAGGGGCATGGCAGATGTGGTGGTACCACTTCTATTTTTCAACAGAGTTTGAGAGACCCTGACATTTTTCATGTGCATCAGTGCATGTACCACTTCACACTTCACTTCACTCTTGACTCTTGACTCTTTCACATATTCACATGCACATATCAATATACAATACCCTAGCTTCCTTTGTTGTCATTAGCCCGATTAATTATTGTATGGTTTTGAAATTCAACGTGGTTTAAGCAATAGATTCATCTTATTATATTACATGATGGTAATTAAGGATATGCATGTTTACTTACAAAGAATATGAATAAGAATTATTTTGATTTTTGATTTCTCTACGTTTACATGTAAAGAATCAAAGGGGTGCAAGTTTTTTCTTAAAATTCGTAATTAAATACTTAAAAGTGAGAGATCGGATGGGGGGGGGGGGACTAGTTGATATGATTCATTTTTCTCACTTCTCCTATTTTTAAGCTATCCGGTCCATTCATTTTCTCATTTGTGTCTATTTATGTTATAATACGTGAATCCATTATACATACACGTGCCTTTATTTTAATATCATACAAAAATTTTCCATTAGTCCACGTTCATTTTACAACTGCATATATGTTTATCCTAATTAACTACTAAAAGATTAATTTCATTTCACATATATTACCATCACTAACTCCTTTTGGGAAACAAGAAAATTCAATTACTCAAAGAAAAAGCATATCTTCCCTCACTGGAAATTTGAAATTGGGTAGTTCGTCAATGAAATTCATATAAATACCAAATATAATCAGTTCACTTTGACTTGTAATGAAAAGATACCATACATGTAAAAATGTACCAAGCCAAATTACATATGCAGCGGGAAACCTGGATGTAAAACGAAAGGGCAAAAACCAGCCTCCCCCTTCAACTCATCTCTTGGCAACAACGTGTGTAATGCTGAATCTTAGGGTACGTAGCCAAGCAAGTTATGTATACTTCTCATGAACATGTCTATATAAATGACATATACGTATATGTGTGGTGTTTAATTAGAGTACGTACTCAAACATTCTCTCCAAATATTGATAAAAATAATTAAGAAATGGTTGGTTCTGGAAGTGAACTGAGTCCTGTATATAGCTAACAGATATTTAATAAAATTAAAAATGGATTCCGTACATGCATATATACTTTTTATGATCATGATAATTTTGCAGTAACCTGATCAGCTAGCTGGATGTGAAAAATAGTGACAAGCATATTACTCACCTTTCCATAAGCAAATTCAAAGCCCTTGGGATTGGATGTCACTGCCATATAATAATTATGTATCAATTTTGACGTGCATTTAGAAGCATCTTTATGTTCAATTTGTCTCTTCCAAACTGAACAGCTGATATTCTTACAAAGGATTATTAGTACATTCGTTTTTGAAACACATTGTCACAATCTCAAGCATCAATACTTTAATCATGAACTTGAGGGGATATTAGGAGTAAAAGCATCAAAGGATGGAATTGTGACAAGTGTCATGTGATTATAGGGTTATATATATATATATATATTTTTTTTTTTATGAAAACGAAAGCATTGCATTGCAAAAAGGGGAAAAACCCAAGGGAAAACAAAAGAGTCAGTTAAATTACAATGAATGATCATCCTCCAGTAGTACATCGGAGATAACAGCCAGGAGGGGTATCTAACCAGAGATAAGGACTAACAACAGTAAGTGCATGCATAGCAGGTTAGGCGATGGGCTACTCTATTGCTTGACGACGTACATGAGTATAGGAAGCCTCAGTGATCCTCAGCAACAAAGCTTTAAAATCCTCAATAATATGTCCAATAGGAAACATATTAACGACAATATCGATTTTAGGATTAGTTCATACTTATTTTTAGCTATGCCCTTGCACTCTACACAAAAACTCAGTTGACCCTTTACACACTAATATGTCTCACTTTACCTCTTGAGCTATTCTATTGTGTCCCACTTTACCATATTTTGTCAACTAAGTTGAGAAAAACATAAGGTTTATTGACATGGCATATGCTAGCTCTTTGGTCGTTTCAACACTGAATACAGGAACATATTAAAGAAATTGGGAGTTTTAATGAAGATTTGGGGAAATTAAGCCAACTTGGGGTCAGGGAAAGAATTTGGGGTAAAATTTTGGCTGGGCTTTTAGTTTGTTGTTTTGCATCCTAGGATTATTTTGCGGTTTCAAAAGTCCAAAATGTGAAGACAAGTTGAAAAGAGTAAAGAATTAATGCCACATCAACGGAACATAACGCTTCCTTCAACTTATTTGATGAAATGGGATAAAGCAAGACACAAAAGAAGACTATAAATGGTAAAATGAGACATAATAGACCGTAGAAGGTCAATTGAGATTTTGTGTAAAGTACAAAGTGTATAACTAAAAACAACCCTAGTTAATATGATTATTAGAGTGAGAGAGTAAGTTCTTCGGTTATGTAAGAAGATAGATACTCCTGTACATGATCACCCTATCAGTACTCGTCTCTTTCAATATAAAAACAGTCTCCTCCTCCTCCTTTGTTGTTGTTGTTCTTCTTCCATTTTTATTTTATTTTTTATTTTTTTTTCTCCTCCTTTGTTCTTCTTCCGTTCACATGCAATTCGATGGAGCCCAAAGTTGCAGATTACGAAAAAGAGGGGGACGTATATATAGTTCACCAACTGGTACATGTATAGCATAGGAAATAACAGACATGGAAAGCAAACTCATCTATAATTAGCGTTGAGTTCTTGCCCACTCACATGATAACTTATATAGTTCATTGTTCTAATCAAAGTTGATATTTTCCAACGAGCTCAAATTGTTTCCATATATGTATGATGCATGTCATGTGGGCGTATGTGTGTGTGAGCATGATATTTTCTAAAATTTACCTGAGCCAGAAATGATAACGGTAAGATCACTAACCACCATTTCAAAAACATCTGAGCTTCGATGCATGATCATTGATAACCACCATCAAATGTCATTGCCATATACTAATCAAGACACTTTTTATCCACTCTCCCCAAGGTCTTCGAGCTCGCCATGTCTGACATTGGTCGAAGCCCTTGAGGGAGAGTGAACAACAAAAATGCCTTGGGGTCTATTTGTCCATCGATGAAATTCAGAGCCTGCTACAAATCAAGGCAAAAGCTTGGTCGTTCTCCCCCAAGAGCTCCACAGCCTATAATATACCAAATATCCCCCTCAAACTAAGGATCTTGGTATAACATATTGCCTTAAGCTGAGAAGCACTTGAGGGAGAGTGAGCAATCACTGCCTTGTAATAAGATTCAATTGAACTCCAACTACTTGCTTATTGGCTTTGCCTTATTTGTTGAAGAAAGGATTGGCTTAGAAGCCCTTTTATAGATCTTCAAGCCACAAATAAACACAAAGGTTATGTGGTGAAAATTGAGCATTATAGTGATTAGTCTATCGCGGTGGGGTAGGCGTATCTTGGCACTTGACCTTTGGTGGTAAAAAAAAAAATCAGATCCTCCTGCTTCCTAAGATCTACATGATCTCTTCCTAATTAAATAAAATAAAGTAGCTAATGCAATGCACTAATCCAAGGAGAAATTTTTAGTTGCGATGGGAATATGGATGATACACCACGTGTTTTTATGTAAATGGTGGAAAATTTTAATTTTTAAATTATTAACCTTTTAACACACATAACCCACCATTTATATAGGGACACGTGATGTACTATCTCGTGTGACGGTCACATTGAAAAATCTTTCCAATCCAAGGTGGATTTCCCACAACAAAAGCGATACTTTATTCAAAAGGAGAAGGATTCTCTCCCATCCTATTCTCATCTCCTTCCCTCCCCTCCTCTCACATATTGTTTTTTGTTTTATTGTCTCTATATAAAAAAAAAAATCAATATAAGATGCTGACGTGGCAAAACTGTAACCGTTCAAATAAGAGGAGAAGGAAGGGGAGAGAGATTAAGAAAGAAGAGAATCCTCCTCTTATTCACAAAAAGGGCCCCAACTAATTAAAGCAATTTGTGTAAGGAAAATGTTTTTCGCAAGTTTTTTTTTACTTCCTTATGCACATTTTTTTTTTTCACTTAATTT